TTTCAATCCCGGTGAGAACGTATGAACATGTTCGTCCAACTTCGTTATTGCAACCTTTCATTTGGAATTCGTATGTGTGTTTTTAAACTAAGGTTCACAAGCTGAAATTTCTTTTATCTTAAAACCGCTGAAAAAATGTATGATGAAGAGGAGCGGATTTGGAGTCACCCGATTCCGGAAGCGAAGTCGGATTCTACTATAGCTTAAAAAAATAAAAATAAAAATGAATAAATAAGAAAAGAAAATCTGAAAGGATTCAGATTTTAAATTACCTCTAAAGGGGCGTTTTTTCAACATTTTGTCTGACCTTTATTTATTAAATATCACATTCTTTGCACTTAAACCCTAAAATTCAGTTCAACAGCAATGTCGCAATACACAGTCTCGCGCGCTAGAGATATTTTTTTTTTTTTTTTGTGTGTGTGTGTGTGTGTGTGTGTGTACAGTGTGCCATTGCTCGCTTTGAAATCGTTGAGTTTCTTAAACAAAAATTCCTTAGAGTTTTACAAAATATGAAATCGATAATAAAACAAATTCCAAATTTCAATTTTCGTTGGCTCTAGGTACCGTTGTTTTATCACAATGCGAGAAATATACATACATTTATGCAGATTTTTAATTATTTAATTTGCTCAAATATATGCAGGACTCTAACATTTCGTGGCAACAGTTTGAAATGTGAAACGGACATTTATAGTGAACCAACGCAAAATCGCAAAACGAAAATAATAGCTCTTCAAGGGACAAAGCCCCTTTGGACTTAAGGGAAAAAAAAGTTCTATACGACATATAGAAAATACTTAATGGTTTAGCACATTAAGGGGATTGTTTCGCATGCGTTCGCTAATGTTCATAAAGCAAAGCTCAGTGCTGCTTTGAACTTTAAGACGAAGCAGAGCTGTAATTTGTTTTTTAAGTAATATTATCGCCGCATCAGTATTTGAAATATAAAGCAGCAAATTTATTAGCCAGTGAAAAATAAAATAAAATAAATTCTGAAAGCATTCAGGTTTTCTATTACGCACAAAAAAGCTTTTTTTTTTTTTTTTTTTTTTTTTTCCCATTTACAGACGCATATATGTTTCAAGAGCATTTGGATTAACGCCACATTGTGCTAAAAATGTTTAAAAACACCGTATCTTTTGAATTTTCGACAAAAACTCTCGAGCGCTGGAGATTTTATTCAACACAGCCTTTCGCTACTGCTCGCTTTGATCGTTGAGTTTTTTAGTCAAACATTTGTTAAAGTTTTACGAAATATAAAATAGACAATAAAACAAACTCGAAATTCCAAATTCGGACTTCCAGGTGAAAGCCTATGTTACTCAGAATTTGATAACTCTAGGTACCGTTGTTTTTTCACAATACGAGAAACATACATACATTCATGTAGATTCTTCATTATTTAGTGTCTTTATATAATGCAGGGCGATAATATTTGGGAACAACAATTTGAAAATTTGGACACGAAACGCTGTTTCGAGACAAATGGCCCTTTTCGGCTAACTCCCAGTTGGGTTTAAACTGAACTTTTTGAAATAAATAACAAATTTAAAGCTGAATTAAAATGCGGCCTCAACTTAATAATATTTTCTTAGTTCATAAGCAGTCACTACATCGGCATTTAAATGAGTGCACAGAGCAGTTTCGTTTTCCAAAACTAAGAAGAAAGGAAGCACACTGGTAAGCTTAGAGGTGTTAGTAAAAACGATGATACTTTGAACAGAGTTACCGGAGATTCGGTTTGATTTGATTTAGTTGATTATAGCAAAGGGAAGGAGTGCCTTCGTGGAGGGCTTTTAAAGTGAAACTGGCTCGTATAAATGCTAGACATGGGGAAAACTACTAAAGCGCCCATGTGGCCAGCTCGTTCGTCTGGAATCGAATCAGGTCGTAAATACCAGTGTTCTGAGATCTTACTGCTCGGCCGCTGATGGGCCCACGGCAGCTTCGGTAGTGGAGATATTAAGAAGAAGGGGGTAAATATAATTCATTGTTACCTCATCGTCGTTTGCATCCTTCAGGTTGTTGTTGTTATTGTCGTGTCCATATTACATGGAACAATGATTGCCTACTCCGAAGAGAGGTTGGACTTTTATTTTCCACTCCCAATTTTGAGGGAGAGCACCCCGGAGGGGGGGGGATCCTGGCGTCTCCAACCCCTCTCGGGTAGCTGCATATTTAGAGTGCTGCCATGCCGTACCGACAGTATACATTTACAAACATCCATATCTTCTCTGGGATTTGAACCCGGGCCTTTCGAGGCTCCCCTAACCACTATACCGTCTGGGCTACGCATCTTTCAGGTCACTGCGTGGATTATTTCTATGTGTGCTCGCCCAGGTGTCAAAACTCGAGGTTCTTGTCGGCTCTAGCCTACCAGCAAGGCTTGAAATACGACAGTTTGCCTCGATTTGTTGGATCTTCATCAAGGCTTTACTAAATTATTAAAACAACTTCAAATCTACATATTCTACAAGTTTATGTTTTTCTTCATTCTTTGTATGAAACGTAGACCAGAACTTAAATTTTTACATTTATTTAAAGCGATTTTTTTTAAAAATTATTTTGTATATCAGAAAAGAGGCTGAAGTAAAAGGCTTTCGTAAAGGGAAGTGGCGAAAAACCTATTAAGGCGGGAAATACCTGTGCAATTAGCCGCCTTTCTTTTAATATGCAACATTATACGGTTTTACACAAATTAAGAATTCATGAACATGGGAAACAGTCCATAAAAACTTGTTTACTAGGGCGAAGAGAAAGGTTTTCTGCGCTGACATAATTCCATCTAAAATTAAACGGATGCAACCGCTAAGTAATTGGAAGTAATTGTAGTAAGTATATAAGTCTCAACAAGTATATGTTGAGAGGCGGTATTTTGGCATTCGCCCAAATGTGAAAACCATTCATCAGATTAGGCAGGCGCACCTCCAGCCAGTTGCATCACGAGACTTCGGATCGAAGAAAAAAGCACGGCTGCAGGAAAACGTCACAAGAAATTCTGCTCTTTGATCATGATTAGAATAGAAGCGATGAAATCGCTAATCTTTATCAATGATTCTCTTTTGGAAAGCGCTGAAACATTTTAATATTAGCAGCCGTTAAATTTTAAACTAAGGTCAAAGGTTACTTTTCATAAAATTTATTTAATTCAAACAAAGCAAATACAGCTTCGACGGTGAAGAGAAACTGATGACGTCATACCCATGTTGACGGTTTTGTAACTGAAGCTCCAGACGGTGTCGTCTGTCATTATTTTCTTCAGTCGCTTTTAAATTCTGATTTATTTGTTCTATTGTTTTAATGGTTTTCAATAACTAAGTTTAAGATATTTTAAATGTAAAAAATGAATATTTAATTGCATATTTCAATTGAGAAAACAGGAATTAAATAAATCTTCGGTTAATACCAATATACTGCATATGCTCATAAAAATTATCAATAACGTAAATTTTACAAACATATGCATCATTATTGAAATTTAAATACATTTAGCGAAAACATTAATACATGAAATTAATTTAAGATGAACACTATGGGGAAAAAAGGAAATAAAGGACAGTTTTAAATTTCCTTTTCTACTGAGCCGATATAAGAAATTTAACTTGCGTTTTTCATGTCTCGAAAGAGCGACTTAGCATATACATTAGCTTTATATATAGGATTATTCTTACATAGGTATTTTAGCACAAAATCGAACTTTTCCTGAAATGACATACCGATTTTTTTCCATATTTCAACTCAGATTAATAAAAATTTAATATTTAGACATAATATTAAATTTTGTAAATTATGGTGTGAAATATAACCGAGAAATTAAAAATTTTACATTTGCACACTTTTTTCAATTTGCGCCAAGAACAATTCCCTTAGCGAAATTCTTAATTTACGGTAACCTAGTTTCCTTTCCCTTTCACTGTGCACAAGAGGGAACAAAGACGCTTGGTTCATTGTTTCAAATAATTTTAACAAATTTCGTAAACCATATTTGGCGTTAATATCGCTTATTACAAATATGCCAAATTTCAAAACTCGCCAATGCAAAAATTCACGTACATGTTTGGAAATTTTGAATAAAATACTAATTTTTGCTGGTGTGCCTAGAAATGCAACTACTTTAAGGTGAAGGTAAAATTTTTATATTTTATAGTTCAATTTTTTTGAAAAATTTATAAAATTTCTAAAAAAATAAAGATTAATTAGTTAAATCAGAAAATATCTGCGAATTTTATTTGGATTGACCTTAAATTTGGAAATGTGAAGAAACGGATGAAGTAAGTTTAATTAAAAAAAGAGATATTAATAAATATATATACCAAATCCAACTAACACTGCAAAGCTAAAATTTGAGAGCTAATTTTTAAAAATGCGAATTTTACAGAACTTGGCATTTTGGCATAATATGAGTCGTAGAATCGAAAAATGGAACAACATAGGTATGTCATTTCCGAAAAAGTCGATTTTGTGTCAGAATACCTATTACAGAACAAATGCTATGTTTAAATCTAATATATGTCCTAAATCGCGCTTTCGAGGTATGAAAAACGCAGGTTATGTTTCGTCAATTGTCCCTGTAAAACGGAAGATACGGAACACCCCCCCCCCATTATTTTTGTTTTGTTTTAGCAAGGTGTACATAATTAAAAAAGCAAGTGCATTCGTTGTTTTGAATGCGCTCAATTTGCTAAGCATTTGCTATTATACTAATTTGATAGATAAATCAGAGATCTTAAGCCACATCGAACAGCCAAATTAAAAAACCAAAATTTGCCAAATTAAAAAACGGCCTGGTAGCACAATGTTAATCCCAAATTTTAGAAAGCCCCCTAAAGACTAAAGATTTTTTTGCTGTTAAAATGAACGAATAACTAAAAAATTTTCATTCAATAAGCTTTTATTTGAATCTCAAAATAATTAATGAACTAAAGGAAGATAAAATAATTTATTACATAGCTTAAAGGAGACAAGAGATTAAATGATTATTTTAAAAAATCACCTACCATTTTATATCATTAACCAGGAGCTTCCTTCGTTTGGCTTTTAAACGTACCGGAAAAATGCCCGAAGGGAACACCAAACGTTAAATTTCAAAACTGCGCAGAATTTTATTCGGCAGAACAACTTCATAAAAAAAAAAAATTTTTTTTAATTATTATATATAACAAAAAATATTTTAAAAAATGTATTACATATAACAAATTATTTTTAAAAAATTATTACATATAACAAAAAATACTTTAATAAAATTTATTATATATAACAAAATTACAATGAAATAAGCAATATCCAAATTTAATACAAATATTAATTATCCTAGTAACTAAATTAACTAACTTGACGTTGCCTTCTCTCAACAAACGTCCAGTATCCAAGAGAAACATTAAATTAAAAAACTGCACAGAATAATCGCCCTAATTTTTCCAAGTGGCAACAGTGCTGATTTTCAACAGTCAGCAGTCCAGCATACAATTGAATGAAAAACTGTTGCCAAAACCACAATTCTAAAAGAATGAAACTATTCAAAATGTTGCGATAAAATCGAAAGAAAATAAAAAAAAAAAAAAAAAAGTCTGAAAAAAATTTTGAAAAAATCGCTTCGAGGTGCACTGGCTCTTGTCTGGATGCACCTATGGACTTCTTAGCCGAGATCAAAGCCTAACTAGAAGAGATGAAAGCCGAGAGAGAAGTGCTGAAAGCCGAGATAAAAGCCGGATATGATGAGATAAAAGCTGGATATGAAGAGATGACAGCTGAGATGAAAGCCGGACCGGAAGATGTGAAGGCCGGACGAGAAGAGATGAAAGCCATCTGAGAAAAGTTGCGAGAGCAACTCCAATAGATGAAAGTGGAGCTTGCAGAAGAAACTGAAGCCATAAAAGAAGATGTGGAAGTGGTAGTGGCATCTGAAGAATCAGAGGATGAAGAAATGAAGGAAGTAGCTGGTGGACTGTCTGAGAAAGATCCAAAAATGATGGATGAAACACCTAATGGGATTAAAGAAAAAGAACGAAAACGTGAAGAAATAAAAGACGGGAAAGAAGCTTTTTGGTTCTTAAGTGCCTGAAGTGGAACTGGAAAAGTTCGTCGAAACACATAGTGAAATTACGGTCGCAGTTAGCAAGTATTGAACCATCTGAAAATGCATGTGATGCAAAGATGGAAGAAACTGATGTGCAGCTTATTCAGAGTGTTCCAGTATGGCAAGAAAATTCACCCACTTTGCAAACTATGTGTGTGTCTCATAGTGCAGGTTGTGTAGACAAGGACTGAACCTGGATAGTAGATAGAAAATGGGGGTTCACCTGCACGCGGTGTGGGGTGTGGGCGTGGTCAATGACATCACAGAGGGCGGGGCCAAAGGCAACGACATCACACTAGGAGGCGTGGTTTCGAGTGGAGTTGAGTTGTTTTTAGATTGCTGGTTGAGTTGTAGACGTCCTGCTTTTCATTTAAAGTTAGTTTTTTTAAATTGGCAACGGAGATATGGCGTCCTCTAGGGACGAAAAAAGAAAATAATTTATTTAGGAATTGCTTATGGCGTCCTCTAGGGACGAAAAAAGAAAATAATCTATTTTAGAAGTTTTTTTTTTTTTTTTTTTTTTTTTTAAATGTTCTATTATTCAAAATATAGAATTGAACTCTCAAACAAAATACCTCACCAGCTCAGTAGTTTGAAGATTTTAACCACTAAGCTGATGTGATACATTCAGATTCAGGTAAAAAAAGCCTATTTAAGAAAATGGAATTTGAATCGACTCATCAATTATTCTGATACTTTTTATCCTTCTAGTTTTTCATGAAACTTTAACTTATTTCGTTTTTCTGTTTCATAATAAATATTCATTTACTGTCATATTTTTTTAATACTTAACGTTCTAATTTATTTGTAATATTTTATTTAATTTCCAATATTTTTTCATACCTTTCATAAATTTCAGAATACCGATTTTTAACTTATACGTATTTTCACAAGTTCCCGCACGTGCTGTTTATTTGTTACATTGCTTAATTTAGATGCAATTTTCACACTTTTTTTAACGTTAGAAGTTCAATATATTCTGATTTTAACTTCATTTACTTTTTTTGAACCATTCTAGTATTCTATACACACTTTAACTAGTGGTATGAAATTGTATTTAAAAAGAACATTTTTTTCATGATCTTAGTTCTTTTACTAAATTTCTACAGAAATTCTAATTCTTTCACGTGTTTAAAAATATCTCCTTACATTACCGATATTTTTTAAAAAAACTAAGTCTATAACTGTTAATTGCTTTTCTTACGTTCATGATTTCCCTTCTGTGTTTATATTTCTTAATTCTAGCTTAACTTATTTATTATATGTTTTATTTCTGTCTCATCACTGTAATTCCAACATTTTATCCCTTTTTATCATTTTAACGATATGATGTTTTTCATTTACTCCATATTCAAATATTTCCTTACATTTTTATAATACTTGTTTTATTCCTCGATCATAATAGATCATCTAGGTTTTACTCAGAAATTTCCATTCACAACTTTACACTTTATACCATTTATATCTAAATGTATTTCTTTCTATATAGTTTTATGGTCTTTCAAAGTTTCTAACATCATATTTAGTTTTAAATCCCGATTACCTTTTGTGTTGATAATTTTCATTTCTAATTTTACAACCTTCAGTTTCATCCACACATACCAA